AAGGCTAGAGGTTCAAATCCACCAGCTGCCCTGAGTGAGAAACATGAACAATCTTCTCCTGTGTGATTTAGTCTCTGTGAAAATTCACTGAAGGGTTAGCTATGTGTTCTAACTCAAAACACATAACAACTCCTAAACAATATCCAGAATGTCCACTACTCTTCTGCATTGCTGCCATTCTGCTCTGATCCATGATCACTCTGCATACCTAATTTGCAGCTACAGCTTCCTACTTTTATTGAAATTCCGTTCTCTGCACAGTAGCAGCAGTGATTCTTCTGAAATGTGAATTAGATTGGACTACTCTTCTGCTTGTGATGATTTCTATCTCCCTTAGTCAAAGTCCAACAAAGACTATAAGGACCCAATCTGACACCCCTTGCTTTATTCCTACCACCTTTCCCCCAGCTTCCGTCATTCCAGCCACACTAGTCTCCTTGCTGTTCTTCCAACAGGTAATTTTGGCACACTCTCTGTTCACTGTCAATAGTTTTCTCCCAGAAGTCTTACATTTATTTGCTCGAATATCACCTATACAATGGGGCCTGTCGCCACCACCGTCTTTAAAAAGGCAACAATTCTTCCCTACACTCTGCTCTTCCTTTCTCTGAACTTTTTTATAGCAGCTCTTTATATTTAATATATGTTTATTATTTGCCTCTTAGCCCAGGGCTTAATTATGTTATATGCTACTGAGTCTGAACGGAATCAGAGCTGACTCTCCAATGGGTTGCACAGGAGTTTGACTGCCCATCTTTATTCTATGGAGTAGCTGCTGGATTAAAACTGCCTGCCTTTAGGTTGGCAGTGCAGCTCCTTACCTCTAGGCCATGTTGTTGTTATTGTTATGTGCCGTCGAATTGTTTGCGACTCATAGCGACCCTATGTACAACAGCCCTAAAACCTGCTCTATCCTGTGCCAATCACATTGCCTCTGACACACCCATCCCGATTACCCCAGTCACTGAATCAATCCACCTCATAGAGGGTTTTCCCCTCCTGTGCTGTCCCTCCACCCTACCAAGCATGATGTCCCTCTCCAAGGACCCTGGTCCTTACTTTCACCATTAAAAAAAAAAAAAAACAACACAAAACAACCAAAGAAACTTGAGATCCATCAATAGGTATGTAATTACACTAGTGAGCAAAAAAACCAACGTATTTAATAAAAAGAAAGAAAATATCAGAGCCCGTTAAAAGCAGTATTTCAAGACATTTTTGTTTTATGAGTGGGTGTATGCAAGCATTTGGTTTAAGTACAGTATTTCTTACTGTCCATCTCAATAAAAATATTTGTGTAAAAATTGCTGTAGACAAAGTTCTGCACATTTATCGGGTGACATGTACAAACTAGTTTATAATAGCACCTTTCTGAAAAACCGTATAATAGTGTACATATCCAGAAGCAGTAGAAAGAACATAAAGTAACACCCCCAGCGCATTTCCTAGCTGCTGCTCCAGTGTGTTTTTGGAGATCGTGAATCACTGGGGTGGAAGGAGATCCTTTTTCCCTGTGCAGCTACTGGTGGAAGAACCACTGCAAAGGCGCCACTTCTGGGTTATCAGAGAAACTCTCCAGGGATGATATCACCAGAGCTCATAACTCCACAAACATAGCTCAAAAACTTAAAGAGTAAAGTATTATAATAGAAACAAACGTGGTAAAACGAAAAAACAAAAAATGAGGATAAAATTCAGAAATGCTTAACTTTCAGAAGTTAAAAAAATTCAAATTACATAAAATTAAATATAATTGAGAAAGTTAAATAAAATTAATGTTAAATAAAATTTGGAAAAGAAATGTTAACTTTCACAAAACCATTAACATCATCAGTTAGGGAACTGATTTCCCACAGAATTACTGAAGACAGTACCCAAGTCTGATTCTTAATGTTGCCTGTAGTATGTATTTTTTATGTTCTGAATCATGTGATAATTATATCATCTGGATAACTGTCTTATCGAGCTCGGGAAGCCAAATGGGTAGTGAGATGAGATGGCGCGCCTCTGGCAATTTGAATCCACGAATGGAGTGAAAACTAGAGGAACAGCTATGAGTCAGTTGATTCAACGCCAGTGAGTTTTGAATTTGGATAATTTGGTGGTAAACCATAAAGATCAGGGGAACCTAGCAACCACTCATATTAGTTTTTGTTACTTATTAAGTCGGCTCAATTTAGAGAAACCCTTCACAATCACGGCTTTGCTCAAACCCACGGTTGCTATCACTGTCAATTGGCTGGCCCTCTACTTTACCAAGAATGATTATGCGATACTAAGTTCATTAGTTATTTACTGTTGAGTACCACTGAGTTGGAACCGATAGCTGACACTGTGGCGGGTTTTCAGAGGCTCCTGGGGAGGAACGGGTGGATCCGACCCCGCATACTTTTGCACTGGCAGCAAAAGTCCTTACCACTAAGCCATCAGAACTTCCTAGATATTCGTGAGCTGTATAAAATCTGTAGGTTCATTTCAGCACTTCTCATTTTAGTTAAAATCCTAATTGCAATTTTGGTTTGATATCCACCCAAATCGCGCTCTACCCCATCATCAAGAACTAAAGCCAGGGGGCTCTTCAACCCTCCCGCACGGAGTAGTTCTCTCTCCGCCCTTGGTTGGCTAAGCTTAGAAGGACAAAGACTGAGACGTTTAGGCGGAAGAGAAGGTACTGAGGTGATTGCAGGCAGCAGAGAAGCCAGCTTAAGAAGTACCCAGTGCGCAGATTACCCACCGTGCTCGGTTTACTCTTACAGGCAAAGAAGCACATGCGCCGTAAACGCCCCTAACCCAGTAACATTTCCGAAGTCTTGATTGGCGAGCCGTAAATTCTCGCGATGCTTCCTCCATATACCGCCTCCTCTCTTTATCTCCCAGTACAGACCGGGCAAGCGATCACAGACCACGTTGAGAACCTCGGGGGCAACATAGCTTTCTCCAGGCCTTCTGCGCTCTCACAGAACCCGCGACGCTTCTCAGATGCTCACAGGCACGAGGTTTGGCTTCCATACGGCGTCCGACTGAACCGCTCCAATCCCGGCCGCTCAGCACAGCCCATGTGTTGCAATCGCCCGGCGATGCTCACCAAATCCCGTCCCTTAATATCGCGAGAACTTGGTGGTCACACACTAGTTTCCGGTTCCTGGGTTTCTATGGAGACAGAATTTTAACTAGTTCTCATGCTGAGGCTTTGCTGGTGTTTCGGAATCATACATAAAATGATGGAATTGATTAGAAAGATGCAGAGAAAGGTGTTAGTGGGAACGAAACAAAGACAGCCAATGTGATCCACGGGGGTGAAATTTGCTGGGCATCGGTTGCCATTTAGATAGAGGTCTTTAGGGTGGACACCAATTTTCCCCATTGGGGAACCCCGGTGCATCGGTACACACAGTTAACATCAGCTAAACACGCATGGGCATTACGCCCGTTTTTTTCTGCAGTTCGGAAGATTCCGAGGTCAGAATCTGCAGCACACATCTCCGTTAACCAAAGAGTAGTTATCTCTCTTTAAAAATTTGTTTTTTGACTTTTAAAAGGCCATCTTTTCTAAAAAAATTAATTTTGATGTAAGTTTACAGAGAATTAGGGTTTCCATTCATTCGTGTTGCACTTTTCTCCCTGCCCACCCCTCTCTTTTTAAATTTGCACAGCAGTTCCTAGGAATGGATTCCGTTTATTCCGTTCTTTAATCATATCACATTCCAGATTGCTTTCTTGTCAATACCTTCTTAACTGCAGCCATTTTTATTTCCATTTTACATTTAAAATGATTTCTACTCCTGTATTGAATTATTGACTGCCAAACAGTTCTTTAGTGTAAGGCCACCTGTTACTTAGATTTGAAATGGACTTTAGATACCATGTCCTCTTCCTGGTGTTGACAGCATAATCCTTTCCATAATATTCCTGACAGATGTATTTTTATTAATTTTTCATTAAGTATTTGTTGCGCATATTCTGTGCTAGGGAGCTCTGGGGGCCTAGTGGCAAGAAGCTGCCACTTTTAATCCTAAAGGCACGTGGTTCATCCACCACCTGCTGCATGGAGGAAAGATGGACAATACCCTCCTGTGCACTTTACTGCCTCTGAAAATCCACTGGAGGGTCTGTTTGCCTCGAATGACACACAGCCACCACCGTTCTCTGTGGTAGGCACTGTTTTAAGGACTTGAGAATTAAAATAACAGATAACAGTTGTTGCCATTATGGTGTGTTTTGTTACTGCTGGAATCAGTCAATATACAAGTGAGTGAGGTAATTTCATTAGGAGTGATGAAAATGGTGTGTGTGGAGGGTGTGTGTGGGTATGTGTAGAAGACAGGATGGCCGTACAGGAGCTGGCTTTGGGGTCATTGGAACAGAGACTTAAATGAAGAGGAATCAATTTTGCAAAATTCTGGTGAGATGACTGTTAAGAGGTGAATAAATCATGGCCTAACATCTTATTTGGAAATAAGAGAACTGGGGAGTACAAAACCCTGTAATGTTAAAAGGAGATTGATTTGAGATGAAATGCAAAACAAGATTGTTGTTATATTGCATCTCCTGGACTGTCAGTCTGGCAAGTCACTGATGTTAGATTGACTCAGATTAATTTTGGAACTAGTGTTCTTGTTTTGTTTTTACTAAAATACAGGTTGGCTATATTTTATATGGAAAGACTGGTTCACAGTAGGCAAGAGTGACAATGTGATCTCTTCTTAAGCATAAATATTTTCCCCCAACACCAAAAGTCCAGAGGTTCTCAACATGGGAAAAGTTTTTCAGTCAGGAGGATATTTGGCAATCTTCTTTTGTTGTTACAACTGAATGGAGAGGTGCTACTGGCCTCTAGTGGAAAGATGCCACAGATGCTGCTAAATAACCTATCTAATGCAGGGGAAGATCCTGCAGCAGAGAATTTTCTAGTCTAGAATGTCATAGATGTTAAGACTTCAAGCCCTGGGTTAGACTATAATGTAACTTCTTTCTTACAGTGACTGTAATTAAATCTATTTAAAATGGGTGTGAAGAAGAAGAAAGGAATGCATGTTGCTGCATTCACCGTTTGTCAGCATGACCTTGAAACTTTGAAATGTAAGTGATTTCTGATTTTACTATATATATTTAATATATATTTAAATATATATTTGCTTTGGTTAATATATTTGCTTTCTAGTTTGCAAGTAGAATATTGTAAACTCTAGATGCTCACATCAGAAGATGTTTGAATTCTGTTTACTGTGTTCCGTGTTTCTTAAATTTGGTCTTATATATACACTGATTTTTTAAAAATTCTTCTCAATTAACTTCCATCATTTTTATTTGGGAGCTTATAAAGATTTAAATTTTGTACAAATGAATAATAATATGGCCTTTGTGTTGATTCTGAGATCTAAATGGTTTCTGAGACTATAAATCTTAAAAGAAGGAGATTTCCCATTTTTCTACTGTAAGACGCTCTGATAAATTTGAACTACTGAGATGCCCAACCTTTTGATTAGCAGTGTAACACTATGCCACTAGAGAGACTTAAACATTAATAATAGAAGTAATACATAGTTACATTACTGAATAAATGTTTTGTTGTTATGTAGCTTTTGCTGATGTGGAAGGGAAAAATCTAGCTTCTGTGCTGTTACATTGTGTGGAGCTCACAGATGGAGTATCACAAATCTGTTATATTAAACAGGTAAGGCTGAATTAATAGTTGTAGATACATTGTAAATATTATTGAGCTTTTTAGGATGTAAAGAAATTTACAATATTTGTCTTGTTGAGTGCTGTCCAGGTAACTATGTCTAACAAAAGATCTGAACATTGCCCTACTGTGTACCACCCTATTGATCTCTGTCATGCTCCATCCCACAGTTGCAGTCGCTCTGTCAGTCTATTTTGTTGAGAGTTTTCCTTCTTTTACTGGTCTACTTTTCCAAGAATCCTTCTCTTGTAGAGGATTCACTTCCTAGCAACATGCCCAAAATGTGTGAAACATGCTGTAAAGAACACCCTGGTTGCACTTGCTCCGAGACAGGTTGGTGTGTTCTTTTGGAAGTTCCAGGTATATTCAACACTCACCACCAACACCACAGTTTCAAGGCATTACTTCTTCTTTGGTCATCCTTATTCACTATCCAACTTTCAGATGCCTAGGAAGCAATTGAAGATAACCTGGCTTGGATCAGGTGCACTGTAGCCTTTACACTGATGTACTGCTCCTTAGCTGTTTGGAGAAATCAAATTTTGGAGAAGCAGATTTCCCTAACGTGACTTGGTTTTTTATTTACTATCTACTTCTACCATGAATGTTGATTGTAGATCGGGTAAAATGAAATCATTGGCAACTTTGATCTTTTCCCCAGCTCTCATACTGTTGCCTGTTTGTCCAGAATTGATGATTTTTGTTTTCTTGATGTTGAAATGTTACGTATGTTGAATGCTGTAGTCCTTGGTCTTCTGTAGCAAGTGCTTCAAGTGCTGTCCACATAAAAATTTAATTTTTTAAGCAGTCCCATTCATTTAGCTTGTCATTGTTGATTGTGCATCAGTTATAATTGGTATTCTATTTATGCTATGGATTAAGGTTTCTAAGTTTGCTTTGATTTTTTTCTTTGATGTGTTTTGTAGTTTTAGGTTTTATAAACCCAAAAGTTTTAAGTTTTAGGTTTTATAACGCCAACGGCATTATTCCAGCTATAGTTGTTTTGTTTGTTTGTTTTAGATAAAAAGATAAATGTGTTAGAAAAGACACAAAGAAAGGGATGGCTCATCCTCCTAAGGAATGGAAACAATAGAGGAGGCCTTGAGTTAATATTTGAATGTGATATGTTGTTGTTGTTGATTGCCTTTGAGTCGAGCATGAATAATAGGGATCCTATGAACAAAAGGCCTGAAGCCCCTCTACAACTATTGATATTTATCAAATTTCATAGAATTTTCATAGGCAAGTTATTTAGGAAGTAATGTCACTCCTACTTCCAAACCTGTTATAGAATATTACTGGTTGAGTTGCCTGAGAAGCATAGTGACCCTGTGTACAGCAGCTCTGAACCCTGCCCTTCCTGAGTCAGTCGCATTAATTCCAATAAACCAACCTCCATCACCCAAGTTACTGTATCAATCTATCTTATCTGGGTTCTCCCTCTCCTGCACTGTCTGTCCACCCTTCCAAGCATGATGTCCTTCTCCAAGGACTGATCTCTCTTGGTCACGTGCCCAAAGTAAGTGAGGTAGAGCTTAAAAGTCCTAGCCTCCAAGGAGAGACTTGGTTTCACCCTCTCTAAGATAGACCTGTTTGTTTTCTTGGCAGTCCATGGTATGTCCAAGACTCTTCTCCAGCGGCACAACTCAAAGACATCTATTCTTCTGTCATCCTTAGTCATTGTCCAACTTTTTTTTTTAAGGACAACTTTTTAAACTTTCTGAAGCATAAAAAATAATTAGGAAAACTGTGGCCTGGATTAGATGCACCTTAGTCAATAGACTGACCTCGTTGCTCTTTGTCACTCTGGAGAGGTCCCTGACAGCAGATTTTCCCAATGCATTTCGCCTTTTGATTTCCCAATTGCTGGTATTAAAAGTGTTGATTGTGGATCCGAG